TTATGTTATGTTATGTTATGTTATGTTATGTTATGTATATTTTTCGTCCAGAGGGCCAAGGGCCCGAAAGTCCCCTATTGAGGCACAGGATGTGCTAGGCTAGAGAAACCGGATCTATCTTAACGCTAGTTACAGAACGTTTCTACAGCCGTATCGACAGAACACGCCCTATCCAGCATATCATCGGCACAAATGGCGCATCCTATCGAGCCTGTTACCCGTCAGCGGGATGACAAGGCGCAGCTGGAACCTCGTAGCCGCTTTTGAAACTTGGTGTCAGGAACCCTGACACCAGCCTGTCCGCATGGAAGCTCGGAACTGTCACAAGATGTTCACGGTCAAGTGAAGGGCGTTGTCGCGCCGTTCATTTGGCCGTGACCATGTAGGAGAGGAGAGAAGGTAACAAAAGAAATGCATATGAGAAGGAGAGAAGAGAGGAGATGCGAGTGCACCTCGAGTCGTTGTCGCTCAATAGCGAGGACAGATCTTTCCAAAGAACGCGCTGTCTTTGGACAAGTCGACAAACTTGGTGAAGTCTCTTCCTATTGCAAGGTTGACCGCTGCATTCGGTGAGGGTCTCAGCCTCATCCGATGGCGCGGCGGTACCTTCCGGCAGTAGAAGATGTGGTCCGGTGCTTTGCGTCGGCCGCATGAGCAGACCAGGCGTGCATCGCCGTGGCCGAACCTCTCGTGATACGCGGCGAAGTCCCCGTGAAGGGACCTCGCTGCCAGCAGATGGTGCAAGGCTGCACGCGGGAGCGACAGCTCCGGCGGGCAGCCTGTGGTCGCCTTGAGATTGAGTCTCTTATACTGCTCAGGAGCGGAGGCGGTCCACCATGCCTCGAATGTGTCCTTTGGTTTTTGTCTTGTAATCCTTCTCAGGTAGGCCAGTGTTGGGCGAGCACCCTCGGGCTCGGGAAATGAAGACGCTGCCTTTGCCAGTCGATCGGCCTGCTCATTGCCAGGGATGTCAGTATGTCCTGGCACCCAGCGTACGTGTGTGTTCCCATGCGATGCCGCTAGAGCCTGAAACTCGAGGAAGACGTCTTGGGAAGAGTCGGATGGTGTGCCTTGCAAGCATGAAGCTGCCGCGAGGTTGTCCAGGCATATGCTTATGCTTTGCGTTGCCGATTCTTGCAGATTCAGGGCTGCTTTTAGGCCCTCTAACGCTCCTCTGGCTTCGGCATCAAAGACCTCAGCCGGTCCGAGGCGACCTGATCCGTCAACGATAGGTAAGTTGTCCTGGTGGATGGTGAAGCCGTAGCTGGCAACCCCTTCCTCGGACAGAGAGCCGTCCGAGTACACGACCAAGTTGAGCGCGTCGAGCGACTTGACCCAGCGGAGGAAAGTCGCCGCTGTCTTCTCCTTTGACGCTGTTTGCAACGGTGGTATCTCCTCCTGCTGAAAGCATTTCTGGAGGAGCTTAGGGCGGGTACACGATGTAAGAAGCTCATCTGTACGTCGGAGACGTGTTCTGAAGCTACTTTCTGCCTGCTGATACCTTCGTTTGATGAGATCATGGTAGATAGGTTGGCGGGGTGGCAGCGTTCGCCGCACAAGAGGATGGGCGTCGTCAAGTGATTTGAGCCGCGCCGAGAATCTCCATCTCCGTTTTTCCAAGAGTTGGTCGACGGGTGGTATCCCGCTCTCACGGTAGAGGATGGTGATGGGCGTCGTTTTCCAGATGGGCAGTATAGCTCTCATGGACTGGTGTAAGGCCTTGTTCATTCTCTGAATCAGATGCTGACTGCTCGATGGCGTGTCTCGGTTAGGCTGACTCCATCGCGGTCTAGTGGTGCCCGGGTACCAGGCTTCAGATCCATGCAGTAGTACCGGCTCGACACAAGCCATGACGGCGCTTCGCACGGCGCTCGGGAGAGGGCCGTGTATCGCGTTGGCGAGACCCCTTAGATGATATGCGACGGCATGCGCCTTGGCCGCCCACTTTTCGACGTGAACGTGGAACGACAGCCTGCTGTCAAGCCAGATGCCGAGCCAGCGTAGGGCTGACTCGGGGTGTTTCTCGACATCGCCGTGGCGTATAGCCGGCGTGGTCCTGAGTTTGCTGCGGGAGAAGTGCATGACTTCGGTCTTTTTCGGGTCGAACGAGACGCCATTGGCCGCACCCCAGCGAACCATCTCATCGATAGAGCCGGAGGCTATGGCCGTGGTTTCATCTATCGTGTCGCCTATGGAAAGGATAGCCGTGTCGTCTGCGTAGCCGAAGCGGCCCTGAGGGTTGCCTAGTCGGTAGATTGGCTCGGTGTAGAGCAGGAAGAGAATGGGCGACACTGGTGAGCCTTGAGGCAGGCCACACTGGAGAGGAGCGAAGGGCGTGAGGGTGTCTTGATACCTCACGCGGGCTGAACGATCCTTCATAAAGGACTCGGCCCATCTGGCTAGATGATCGGGCCAGCCCTGTTCACGAAGACGCAAGACCAGTCTGTTGCGCATGACGGTGTCAAAGGCCCCTTGGATATCCATCGTGACCAGGGTGGCCACCTTGTTGCGTGCGAATGCTTCTTCGATATCGTGGATCAAGGCGGTCACCAGGTCTGTTGCCGACCTTTTGGGGAGAGCGCCCGCCTGTTGTGGATGAAGGACATTATAGTAGATGGCGGCCCTTGCTAGACGGCGTGTGATGGTTTGCGATGAGGCATCTCTCGAATAAGCGACGGATGTGCGTCCCAACGACGTGCCACACGGCTCTGAGAAGGTCGACAGTAATGTTGTCTGCCCCTGGGGAAGTATTGCCTGTATGGATGGTCGCATATTGTGCCTCGTCTAGGGAAACTTCTGGCAAAAATGTGATCGATCTCGGAGGGGAGACTGGTGTCCAGCGGTCTGCAATATCGTCATCTAACGTTCGACATTCTAGAAAAGCTCTGAGAAGTGTGGTCGCCTTGTCCATCTGAGTTTCGTATACAATGTCGTCCACCTGCAGGGGAGGCGGTGGGAAGGGCCCTGAAGACTTCAGCCACTGGACAGCTTTGAAGACAGCACTGCTGCTGGAGAAGCTACCGATGAGTTCCCGCCAATGCTTTCTCTTCGCTCGACGGACCACACGATAGAGGCGTCTCTTGACCATCTGGACATCCAAATTGAAGCCCAGGGGGTAACTCCTCTGTCCACCAGGGCGCTGGGTGGCCGCCTTCCTGTGAAGGTCGGCCAGCTGCCTTGGCTGCCGATGTCAGTAGATGTGTGAGTTAAGACGCAAGCTTGCCAAGCTCTGCAGGTGTCGAGTCTACGATCGGGATCTCTGTGGCTCCAAGTTATACGATCTGGACGAACCGTTTTAGCTCATCTTCTGTTGTCACTCGAATCTTGCCCGGCTGTATCGGAGCGGGATTGATGTCAGGGAGGGTCAAACTGAGTGTGAAGTGGTCAGAGGTGGTTGCTAAATGGTCCTCAACGGTAGCCTCAGCAAGTGGCAAATTGGTGAAGGCCTGGCCAATTGTGTTGCCATGCGGATTTGTCGGGATATCGGGAGTATTGAGGAGATCGAGGTCGTTCTCTAACGCCCAGCCTGTGATTTCTTGGCCGCGGTCCGTAGTCTGGCCTGACTGCCAGCTTCGATTTCTGGCGTTGAAGTCGCCAGCGACGAGGCAACGTTCCGTGACAGACCATCCCAGTAGCGTACTCAAGGCGTCCCCCTCGTCGTTCTAGCGATAGAAGTTGACTACCGTCAGGCCGTTGATTGTGATCCAAAGGATATCGCGAGTCTGGAAGGGCCGAATCTCATAAGCGAGAAGTCTTGGGCCTCGTCGAGCGTATGCCATCACTCTGGGTCGAGTTTCGTTACTGTCCCATACATCGACGGGCGTGAATGTGTTGTATGCAGGATGCGTCTCGGCCAGACAGCGCGTTTTTGTATCGGCTGTTCACGGCTCCTGCAAGAGCACGATGCCATATCATTCCGAATCAGCAAGTGCCAGCGCGTAGTCGTGGGCCGGAGGGATCTTGCCGACGTTGGCCTGGAAGATCTTGAGCGGCTTCTTGTCGCTCTTTCGTGTCTGCTGTGAGTGTCGTCTATTCCAAGTCATGGGGACGAGTGATGAGACCTATTCGGCGCTTTCGCGGTGAACCTGGCCTGGGATGCTCAGGCTCCTCTTCTGCCTTGTAGCCAATCCGGGGCGTTGTGGCCACCATGATACACGAAAGTGCTCCTGATACGGCTGGGCTTGGAGCACGAACGCTCGGTTGGTCTTGTGATACGTCATCCTAGCCTTGTCGATCAGACACGTTGTCGTAGGCTTCTTGGTGCGATTCCGGTTGTGATTCTCGCTCTCGCTGTCGTTGTCGGTATGTCTCGCCACCTATGGTCCGGGTATGTCCTCGTTGCTCTTTAGTGAGCCGGCGGAGCACGCCGCGTACTCTCTTTGGCCGTTCTGGGCACTTGTCAAAGTTGGCCTGATGCGGGCCCAGGCAATTGACGGACTACTCTGGTGCGGCGCAGTCACCCGTAGAGTGACCGGTCTTGCCGCGGCATTGGCAAACTGGCTGTCTGGAACAACTGCGGGCAGAATGATAGTCCCAGCGCGTCTCGCACTGTCTGACTTGGTTGGTTTTGTCGATGAGTCTGGCCGCACTGCTGCCAAATAGCGACCAGAATCTCTTTATGGGCTTCAGAAAGGGCACAAGCAGGCCCTACACGTCTGCTCACGGTAAGGTCTGGGCTGCAGGACGGGACCTGAGGAATCCAGGCATCAAGGGAGAGAGGAACCAGTCGATAAGGCTATGACATGGACCCAAAGATCCACCACGGTCACAGCCTAGACTGGTCCGTCCTTTCCAATGACAAAAGTTGAGTAAGGCCTTAGCGCCCTCGTTGATGAATCCATGCAAGCAGATGGTCCATGGCCATTTCAGAGTACCTCTTAGCCGAGTGCAATGAGTGGCAGGGGTGCTTGAGGCTAGCCAGTGTCCTTGGCTCGATTAGGAGGCCTCGAGAGGAGGAAAAAGAAAAGAGGAGACGGAGCGAAGCCTGACTCAGATTGAGGGCGTAGACTACTCAACGCGAGCCATGGGCCATGTCTTGCTCTTCTTTGACACAAAATCAGGGGTGTTTGTGGGGCACGTTGCTGACGATGCCTTGCTGCGTGGCAATGCCGATAACGCATCACGGAAGGGGTTGGAGACGAGGTCCAAAGTCTTCCCAACAGCAACGTCAAGGATACTCCTGGGAAACAGACCGGAAAATAGAATGACACCAACAGAATTAGCACGACAATCATCGCAATATTTGGGTCGGCCATCCTTACGCAGAAATGCTTTTGTCGACTGTTTTGCAAACAGCTCCATGTCTCGACACCGATAGTGATGTTGTTCAATCAACTAGTTTCTGCTGTGTCTTCTGCGGAGCGCCTGCCAGGTCGCCTTATCAGAAATTTTAAGCTTTCTATTGCACACTGGCCCATCTGAAGTCTCTGTTGTCCTGGTCGGGGGCGGTGCGGAGGTCGTACTCGGGAAGCAGAACCACGACGCTGCATGACAACTGCTGGATATTCTGATACTGGCTCTCAGAAATTGCGATATAACAAGAAGTGAAATTGCATTGTGAGCTTCCGGACAACGACCATCCATTTAAATACTTGTTGATAACGGCAGAAGTCTGCTTTGTCCACTGCGCCTCCTCACAGCCACTTTGAAGGCTGACTAAATCTATGAACTCCCCCGAATGATGATTGGTTGAGGCACATAGGGCCGCTGATTTATTACGTGACTACAGAAGTCCAGGGTAGCAATCTCTTTAGGATCTTACTTCGCAGCGAATGGCCACAGAGGAGCGCTTTCTCGTTGTCGAAGCCCTGTTAGCCATGGCATGATGGTGCTTCCTCCCCTGATATGATCCTATGGCCACCATTCTTGGACTACACCTCGATAGCCATAGTAGCTTCTTCGGGGCCAAACATCTGATGCATTTTTGGGAGGAACTGCAAGCCGTAAGAATAGGCTTGAGGCAGCTGATGCATATGGGAGGATTTTCTAGCTCTACTTTTTCCTCCCGCATATAGGAGGATTCTTTAGCTCTACTTTTTCCTCCCGCATATGAGAGGATTCTTTAGCTCTACTTTTCCTCCTGCATATGGGAGGATTCTTTAGCTCTACTTTTTCCTCCCGCATATAGGAGGATTTTCTAGCTCTACTTTTTCCTCCTGCATATGGGAGGATTCTCTAGCTCTACTTTTCCTCCTGCATATGGGAGGATTTAGCTCTACTTTTTCCTCCCGCATATGAGAGGATTCAAGGTGTGACTTTTGAGTCCACCCCCAGGGCTTTTGCTTAATAAAATATACTCGTTCTCGAAAGACTCGGCCCCATGAACGAGCATTCACTCACTCACTACCGCTCTTTAGCTCTCACGTAGACGGTCCTCACTCCCAGCCTATTACGATGAGCCTCCACGTTGTATAAGATGTGATCGTTCCTTGCATCAATCAGTTGCATCGTACGCCGAGACAGCATGTCAAACGCCTTAGCGCCAAGTCCGCCAGAGGGTGATTTATCAGATGAACGGCTCGCGTTATGCAGCCCCTGGGATGTAAGTGAAAGGAACATGCGAATCCTATATGGCGTCAATCCCTGAAGCAATGCACACCTCTACCAACAATCCTGAGACGGCTCTCACCCGGGCCAGTTATGTAGACCAGGCGGCCAGGAAGCTGGCGGGGAAGAAAACACGCATGTCCTTATCACGGTACATCGATATGAATTGCGTTGCGTCACGTAGACTTCTAGGCCTGCCGGCCACAGTTCTGGCTGTCGATATCAATATCATATCCGGCTGAAACCAACTCCAGCTGTATATAAATATCTAACATGCATCATGCTATGTAGTTCACCATTCTTATCAAATATATCACGAACCTAGAACCTATCACCAATTATGGACAATACGGCAGGTAGTGGACAGTCAGGGCAAGGTAAGAATACTGTGCCTTTACCTTACTGGAACCTAACTTTCCCYAGTGGATCAGCCCAATGAGACAGAARTTGTCACTTCTGATGAAATCAAGACGAACGACGACGTGTATAAACCAACACAGGGAAAGGCCAATTCCAAGTGACAAGTGCGGGGATTGTATTATAGCGATCAGAATTTACTCTTGCTCTGGGCTCAGTGGCATAAATATTGAAATGAAGAATATGTTCCCTTCGGTTGATAGCATGGTACCTCGTCTAAGTAGTAGCCCTCGGTCAGCCGTCCAAGCAATTCTATGTTCGAACTTTGAGGTGCTGAGCTCTGAGCTACTTAACGATACATATGAGAGTTCTTCTGGTGGTGTGGTCGG